CCTGGGCTCAAGCGATCCTACTGCCTCAGCCTCCCAAGTAGCTGGGACTACAGGCATGCGCCACCATGCCTGGCTAATTTTTTCTAAATATTTTTAGTTGTCCAGGTAATTTCTTTCTATTTTTTTTTAGTAGAGACGGGGTCTCGCTCTTGCTCAGGCCGGTCTCGAACTCCTGAGCTCGAACAATCTGCCTGTCTCAGCCTCCCAGAGTGCTAGGATTACAGGTGTGAGCCACCGTGCCCGGCCTGCATTGATCCTTTTGACAGTTGGTAAGCTACAGTTTTGGTTTTGGATGACAGCATCAGAACGAATTAGACACTTTCCCAGGAACCTTTGACATGGTATGTGCTTCTGTGATTCTTTGGGTCTTGTGAGACAAGAGAAGGTCTCCACCTCCAGATTCTTCACCCTGTGGCCTGGCTTTGTGGAGACTGGCTACCAGTGACTGACCTGCACACTACTAATATAATGATCACTTCATTTGGGAGAAGGGTGCCTGTAGTATTCTTGTTTACTGTGAAATGAAAATTGCTTTTGACCTCACAATTCAAAGGTAATTGCTATCAGAGCTTGCATTATCTGTAACAGGCTAAGATGCAAGGTAGCATAACGTTGTCCCTTGAGAAATTATAAAAGTTACGATTTTGTAATATTTTTAAAAGATGTTAATACTAAAATATGCCTTTGTGGCTCCAGAATGTTCATTCTCAATTCTCACTTTATTATGTTAAAATTCTAGTGTTCATAATATTTCATTGCATTATTCATAGTATTAATAATTATTTTTATAATTCAGACTTTTCAAATTGAAGAAGTATCATCATGAAGGCATATATATTGTGTATGTTACAGATCCGATCAATATTGCAGTAATTCTCAGTTCTTTCCAAATCCCATGTATTTACTTAACTTACAAGCTCATTTTTTTTTGCCAGAGGCTTCACTTAGCAAATTTAAAAGAGATTTGAAGGATGGAAAAGAGAATTGATCTTAATCTAGGATTAGATATAATATGTCTGTCTCTGCTTTGAGTACATTTGATCTTCCTTCAGCACTTTGACTATGTCATGTCACTCCTGGCTTGCAAGATTTCCACTGAGCAGTCTGCTGCCAGATGTATTGGAGCTCCTTTATATGTTAGTGTTTTTCTTTTTTCTTGCTTCCCTTGGGAGCTTTTCTTTATCTGTGACCTTTGGGAGCTTGATTATTAATTGCTTTGAGGTAGACTTGTTTGGGTTTAATCTGCTTGGTATTCTATGCCCTTTTCGTACCTGAATATTGAAAACTTTCTCTAGGTTTGGAAAGTTCTCTGCTATTATTTCTTTGAAAAATCTTTCTACCCCAATCTCTCTCTATCTACCTCCTCTTTAAAGCCAATAATTCTTAGATTTGCCCTTTGGAGGCTATTTTCTAGATCTTGTAGGCGTGCTTCATTCTTTTTTTCTTTTTTCTCTTCTGTGTATTTTAATACTGCCCATCTTCCAGCTCACTGATTCTTTCTTCTGTTTGATCAGTTCTGCTGTTGAGAGACTCTGATGCATTTCTCAGTTTATCAACTGAATTTTTCAGCTCCAGAATTTCTGCTTGATTTTAAAAAATTATTTCAATCTCTTTGTTAAATTTCTCTGATAGGCTTTTGATTTCCCTCTGTGTTGTCTTGAAGTTCAATGAGCTTTTAAAAAACAGCTATTTTGAGTTCTCTGTCTGAAATGTCACCTATCTCCATCACTGTGGGATTGGTCACTGGTGTCTTATTTAGTTTGTTTGATGAGGTCATGTTTTCCTGGATGTTCTCGATGCTTATGAATGTATCAGTGTCTGGGCTTTGAAGAGTTAGGTATTTATTCTAATCTTTCCAGTCTGTGCTTGTTTGAACCCATCCTTCTTCAGAAGGCTTTCCAGATATTCAAAGGGAATTAAGTGTTGTGATCTAAGTCTTTGGTCACTGAAGCCATAGCAGCACTGGGAGTGCCCTAAGCCCAGTAATGCTGCAACTCTTGCAGACTCCTGGTGGTACTGCCTTGGTGGACTTGGGTAAGATACAAGAAAATTCCCTGGATTACCAGCCATGTACCTCACTCTCTTTCCTCACTGTCTGTGCTGAGCTGCTGGAATTGGGGGAGGAGTGACATGGGCATTGTCTTGTGGCCACCTGTGCCAGGTCACAACTGAAGCCAGTCCAGTGTCAGCTGAAGCCCATGGTGACTGTTGCCTGGCTACCTCTGATGTTTGTTCAAAGCCCAAGGGCTCTTTAGTCAGCAGGTGGTGAATCCTGCCTGGACTGGGTCCTTCCCTTCAGGATAGCAGTTTTCCTTCTGGTCCAGAGTGGGTCTAGAAATGCCTTCTAGGAACTAAGGCCTGGACTCAGGGGCTTCAGGAGTCTGCTTGGTACTTTATTTTACTGTGGCTGAGCTGGTACCCAAGTTACAAGTTCTCTGAACTCTTGCCTTTCCTTTTTCCAAGTGGAAGGAGACTCTCCCTGAGCTGTACTGTATGGAGTTGGGGGAGGGGTGACACAGGCACTGGCTTAGCTGCCACCACTGGGGTCTCACTGGGTCATGTGCACCCCAAGTCCACTGGCTCTGAGCCAGCACAGCCACAGGAATTGCCCAAGGACTGCAGCCCTTGTGGCCCAACTGCCTTACAAATTTAGTACAGGCCCCAGGCTGCTTTTTGTCAGCCAGTGGTGGGGCTAGCTGGCACTCAGGTTTCAGAACGGATGATTTCCCTCTGGCGGAGCTGGTCTAAAGTCTTCCTCCGTGGGGGCAGCAGAATTCTACCCTGTGCTGTGTTCCCCTCAACAGATGACCCTCAGGGTGGCCCTGAGTTCCAACACATAGCCCCACAATCACTTCACTCTCCCTCTCCTGTGCTCACAGGTTCTCTCTCCACTTGGTGGCGCTGGCGCGGCACTGCCAGGAGGGATGGGGGAGGGGTGGCGTAGGCAATGCAAGATTGTCTTTTCTGCCCTCTTCTGTGCCTCTCTCCTTGATATAATGTTAAAACCAGGTAGTATAATTGCTCATCTGATTTTTGGCTCTTTTGAAGGTGCTTCCTTGCTTGGGTAGTTTTGAATTTGGTGTTCATGTGGAGAGGGATGATCATTGGAGGTTTCCATTCAGCCTTCTTTCTCCCACACTTTATGTTAATTTTGAGCTTGGTGCTTAGCAGTTTGTTTCAAATTTACTCTAAACAAGTCTGGGCTTAATGAATACCAAAGAAAATTCCAAATCTGAATTTCCCTTTAAAAGAATCACTACATGTTTAGAGTATTATTGACAACTTGCCACATAGTCTTATTTTTTAAATCTGTTCTATAGAAGACTAACTCTTTGGGCTAACTGAATAAATTTTGCCTGGTAACATATAGTATTATGTGCTTCACACAGCAACATTTTGACAACTGTTTCTCTGAGTGCCAAACAAGTTCTAATTTAAATTTAATTGTCATGCTTAATTAAAATTTGTACTTTTTAATATTTAGTGTTTTTAAATTAAATCATATGTACTATAAATGTTGTCATAGGAAAATATCACAGAACACCCATCACCCATTAAAGGAGCTATTCAGTGGAACTTACCAGGATCTATGAATTCAATGCCATTGCTGCTGAGGTTTAATTTCTTTAGCTCATGAACATCTTCAAATTCCTTGGGTCGAAGTTGGTTGATTTTGTTGTATGACAAGTCAAGTTTAACAATATCTGGAGGGATGTTGTTTGGAACTTTTTTCAACTCTGGAAAAATTAATAATATTAAGGTTATCATGCCCCTCATGCTCCTCTTTCCCCCATTTTCTCTATCACTGTTATACCTGTGAAGTTGAAGAATCAACTTTTAAAGACAAAGGAGAAAGGGATATCTAAAGCCAAAGAAAATTGCATGAACAGGCCTGAGCACATGCTAAATCCCATCAGAGCATAGTGCATCCCCCAATGGCTTCCCATCTCACTATGAACAAGAGCCAGCATCCTCAGTAAGGTCCTCTAAAGCCATTAAGGGCTGCAGGTCATCCTTGTCACTGGAGTCAGCACCTCCTAGGTTGTAGAACAGAGCCTGTTTATCAGGACTTGCTTAGTGAACCCACATCTCCTGGGCTGGACATGAGGGTAGATGACAGATCAACCACTGTAGGACAAGCTAATGTGGGTTTAACCACAAATAAATGGGTAGAAAAAAATGTTTATGAGAACACCCTGAAACCTGGCTTAAGCAATGTGGTAGACCTGCGGATGCTGGAAAAAGGATACGAGTTGCAGAATCAACTTTGGGATTGTCAAAAGCAGCCCTGGGTAAAAATAAAAGTACTACCAGGAAATAGAAATCAAACCTTTTACTAGTGTGACTTAGAAAAGCCACGTTAGTAAAAATAGATTTCTAGACCAGGCACTACATGGTATACGTACTTCATATTTACTGTTACCTGACATTCTTGGTAAATGCCTCAACAAATACTATATTTACTTGATTGTCCCTTCCTCAACCAAACCTTGCTGATTTTGAGGAGGAAATTAGAAAATTTTCTCCATGTAATTTCCCCATTTAGTAGGGTATCTTGGTTGTCAGCAACCTCAGAACTACTTTGAAGGCTTGGTAGTAGAAGGAAAAGAGACATAAATGGCCTTGTTTATTGCAAATAAAAAAATAATCCTTATTTTTTTATTTGCCGGGCGTGGTGGCTCACGCCTGTAATCCTAGCTCTCTGGGAGGCCGAGGTGGGCAGATTGTTTGAGCTCAGGAGTTCGAGACCAGCCTGAGCAAGAGCGAGACCCCGTCTCTACTAAAAAAAAAAATAGAAATTATCTGGACAACTAAAAATATATAGAAAAAATTAACCGGGCATGGTGACACATGCCTGTAGTCCCAGCTACTTAGGAGGCTGAGGCAGTAGGATCGCTTGAGCCCAGGAGTTTGAGGTTGCTGTGAGCTAGGATGACGCCACGGCACTCATTCTAGCCAGGGCAACAGAGTGAGACTCTGTCTCAAAAAAAAAAAATCCTTAACTATTGTTCAAGCCAGGGGCAAAATTGTGCCCCTAACTTCAGAGGCAGCTGAGGACAATTTACCTGCATAATTCTCCCCAGCCTGATGTTAGAAGTAAAATGACTCTTTTAAAATGGCAAATTATTCTGGTAAATGTGAATCTAAAAGCAGTTTAAAAACTCTTACTTTCATGTATTCTTGGCAAATCCATTTACCTCAATATGGCATAAACATGCCTTTCAACTAGTTCCACACTTATTCCCTTTGAAAGACTAAGTTTTGTTGGCAAAATGCCTGTTTCTCAGTGAATAAAGCTATTATTTCTTTTTCTTGCTGTCAGATGTTTAAGGCAAAAATACGTAGTGATCTTTGACATCTGTGTGGTGGAACTGGCACACATTAAGTACCCTATGCATGCTGTCGGACTCATTCCAAGTCAGCTGGGAAACCTCAACTCCCGAATTAGGGAAATCAGTATGCAGTTTCTCTTTGTGTGATCACATACGTGGTATACTTGTACAGAGCCTAAGAGGGGGATTCAATACTAGAAGGAAGCACACAGAGGCATTTATAAATTTGTTGTTAACAGTTGTGCCCAGAATCTTGAAGGAGGAGATGGCATTGCCTGGTGGTCCGTGGCTTGGAAACTGAAATACTACATGTGTGACCTCTGAAGGGCAATTTTACTTCTCTATACCTCAAATTCATCATTTCTAAAATGAGCATACCCTTTTAGGTTTATGAGGAGTAAATGACGTAATGCATGTAAACTGTTAACTCTCAGGGCCACAGAGCACTTAGATATTAGCTTACTCTTTAGTATCACTGCTAGTTCCACTCTTGATGGCATGATTTAGGCTTATTTAGATGCTATGTAGAGCACAATAATCAAAAGTACTGTATTACTATATTCTGGCAGGGAGCTAGAGATGAACATTGCTGAAAATTTATTCTTAGTATTTGACATTTGTTACCCATTTATAGAATGGAATAAGGAAAATTAGGGTGGATTAAATTCAGATTGTCATACTTGAATTCTAGCCATGATTTTTAACTTCTATGTACTTTTATTTTTAAAGGTTTCTTAAATTACTTCTTTGAAAAAACAAAGGCAGCTCAATTATCATCATGAATCTAAAGTACATGGCCCTATGCCAGGCACTACAAAAGGGACACAAGACCTTTGCCTTTAAACTTACGGGAATCAAAAATATAATAAAAAATGAAAACTAAATGATCAAATGTATCAATAGATTTATATAAACCATAGTGAAAGGCATTTATATTGATGAGATTAAAAGACAAAGCTGCCCTTCTTATAACCTAGTAGAGCCTCTGAATTATTAACACATAGTCATTAACACTTGGAGCAATTTAAGTTGTCCTTTAATATATGACCCAATACTGTATATACTGTGTGTATCATGAAACTTTACTTATATTGTGTTCCAGTAAATAATGTATTTTTAAAGCAGGGTATGATATATTCATGGGGCATTTCTGAAAGTTTGTGCATAGAAAACAATAAGTTGAGGAAAGCAAGCAATAAAAATACATTCATATTTTTATAAGCTGATTTTTGCCAAGAGAAAAAGAAAAATATTACGGAAAACAAGAAAAAAAGACAAAAGCTAGAAATAGGTTCATTAGGGGAGGGAATTGCCCACGAGTATAAAAGCAGTAAAAAAAAAAAAAAAAGATATTTCTAAACATGTTATCTCTTCTTATAGCACAGTATAGTGTAGCTGTAGAAGTTTTAAATTTTGTGTAGATGGTATTTTTTTCAGATAATGAACCTAATCTTACCTACTTTTCTCTTTGACACCTGATACAGCAAGTGCAAATTCACTTTAGCTTGAGGGTAGAACCTCAGAAACATCAAGTATTCTAACCCATATTTAGGATAGGAGCTTTGCTCTAGTTTTAAAAATGTATAATTCTAGTTTTTAATCTAGTATCACAAAGGAAATTTTAGTAAAACATGCTCTTCAATATGAAGCACTAAGTATTCACTATAACAATATCAGGGAAATTCCCTCCAGTCTGGCTAGAGAGAAACTACATTTACTGACTCTTCTGGAATTCTCTAATGCTTGCATTGTTGAGGCAGCCGCTTGTTTGAACATGATCAGATTAATTCTGGAAGACAGCAGGGTGAAGTAGAGAGCTGATAGGCTCTGGCTCAAGTAGACCAAGTTTCAACTCTTATCTTGCTGCTTACCTGTGAGACCTTAGCCAAGTGACTGAACCTTCCTAAGCCTCATTTCCTTATCTGTAAATGGGGATATTACTTCCATCCTGGAAGTCATGGACAGCATGTTTGTGGGGTACCTGGAACATAGTAGGTTCTCAATTAATGAGCACTTCCTTTCAAATTCAGAGGAGCCCAGAATGGCATGCCCCAGGTTATGATGCTGTATGTATTAATAACTGCTCCACTATGGCATCAAATTATATACAGTTCACAGGGTGTCTTAGTAAGCAAACCTCTCTGTGCCACATGTCTGTGGTGGAAAACCAGGTGCCCCCTTTTGAGTCAGAGAGAGAGAGGGGGGCAAGACTTGAGCACAACTTTGCTGATAAGTGAACAAATTTATTCCTGGCTCAGGTTGCCTGATTCTTCGAGGTTAACAAATTGCCTACCATTCTCTTAAGAGGAGCCAGGGCCTTCTCTGTGAACCCTTCCTTTCTCTTGCCCTCACAGAAACAAAACAAAGCAAAACCTCCCCAAATTGGTGGAAGAAATGATATCACACTCCATATGACTCTAATTCACTGACATCTGGCTTTAATATTACAAATAAATTATTAAACCATGCCAGAAATGAAACATATAGACATTGTCATATCGTTTATTATTGTGGGGTAGATTAGCAGTTCCAGATCATACTTTGAAAACATCAGTCTTCACTAACATGTCAAGAGCATTACTAAAATCTTCCATCTGTTTTCTTAGTTCACGACTTTATCTTGTACATGCAAATCCTTTACCGTTCTAGCACAAGATCGTGTGCAATGTAAAACCCAGTAATGATTTGCAGGAAGTAGATAATATTCTAGAAAGATTTTCCTAGTGTCATAGTTCTTGGATTAAATATTATAAATTTAGCTTTTTAATTTTTTTGTTTTATTCTGGATGATTTGGAAATAATTAAGATACAGGATGTTACCAAGTGTTTATTAAAAACCTTGGGACTAAATGATAAATGCAGAAGCACTATCACTGTACTACGTCTCAGAGTGCTCTTGCCTTTTCTGTTCTGCAGATGCTTTTTCCTTGAGGTTATCATCTCCCTACAGATGTACACCATGTTTTGACTTTAATTGGTGTAAGTCAGCTTAGATAGATGGCATTTGCACTTGTTTTCATACCCACTGGTTTACCTATATAAATGAAATTGGATTTAAGATGAAAGGAATTCCTACAGTCACAGCTTGTGATGAGCAAATAAGGAGAACCCAAGTGGCTGCTACTGCTGAGGACACCTCCTTCCCTCCTGTGCTGTCCCCTAATCACTAGCCACCTTGAATCTGGATTCTGGAAAAGCTTGGAGTGAATTCCATTGTCACTGGGGAAAGATTTCTGGTGCGAGTGACACTAGGAATCTCAAGGCATGGTCTGGTGTAGGGAGGATTGGAAGATTCAAAGAGCATTTTTAATTATCCATGAAAATGAAAAAGAAAAGTACACACCTTTCCTTCTGCAGTCCAGCGTTTGTATAGGAAACACATAATTGTGGCAAAGAGTCAAGTCCACCTCAGGTTTGATGACTGGGGGTCGCCCTGACACTTGGGGTTTCGGGTCCAATTGTTCTTTTTCTTCTTCATTACATAACTGTTCAGATTTTATCTGCCGCAGTTTTTTATTTTTTAGTTTTTGTGGGCTTTCGCACTTGGCGTAGTTTCCCAAATTTCGGTTCCTTGGAATCTGCAACATTGAAATAAGCGTTTCTATCTCACAAGTACAGTGCCAGGGGTTGTCATAGAGACGCAGGTAGCTCAGGAGAGGTGTGTAAATGAACACCTCCTCCGTCAAGACTTTGATCTGGTTGTGCTGCAGTAAGAGGGTGGTAAGTCTGTTTAAACCAAAGAACGCCTCACTCTCAATTTTGGAGATCTCATTCTGTTGCAGATCTAGGCTTTTCAGCTTTTTAAACTTGGAAAACATGTTGTTCTTCAATATGCGGATCTTGTTTCTTGCTAATAGCATGTGCAGCAAATCCTGAGGCCAGCCAGGCAGAACATAAACTAATTTTCTTTCTTGACAATCTAAGTATTTCTCGTGGAGGTACATGTACACGTCACAGGGGAGGCCTGGTGCGTAGCGTTTGATGGGATTGGAGCCTCTCCGGCCCCCACCTGCCCGGCCATGATTCACTAGGCTTCTCGTACTGCCTGGGTTTGCTTTGCGCAGCTCAGCAGCTTTGCAAAAGCAGAGCAAGATTACAATGGTAACCACACGCATCCTCACATCCAGCTGGCCCCAGTTACTTGGTGTGACAGATGGAACAATGAAAGTATTCCTTTGAAATCCAAGTTTGAGTAATCTTAACTAATGCAGTTCAGGAGCAATGAAACCCAGCTGGGGTACGTGGAGTCCCTAGGTTGGAAGAGAAAAAAAACTATGAAAAGTTAAAGGGCTGTGTTATTGACGTATTATAGGAGCCTTTTTTTTTCTTTTTTGAGACAGAGTCTCGCCCTGTTGCCCAGCAGCCTAGCTCACTGCAACCTCAAACTCCTGGGCTCAATCAATCCTCCTGCCTCAGCCTCCTGAGTAGCTGGGACTACAGGCACATGCCACCATGCCTGGCTAATTTTTTTGTATTTTTAGTAGAGATGGGGGGGGGGTCTCATTCTTGCTCAGGCTGGTCTCGAACTCCTGATCTCAAGTGAGGCTCCCATCTTGGCCTCCCAGAGTGCTAGGATTACAGGCGTGAGCCATCGTGCCCGGCCAATATAGGAGTCTTTTTTAAGGCAGAGGCTTTCCAGTTAATAAAGATGCTCACTGAACAGTGGCATATAAGGCTCTTCACCCTTTTACTGGCCTGGTTTAAAGGCCAAATGTTTGTACCCTGAGTTTGAATCAAGCCCTCCTACCTGCTTAACTGTATGAACCCAGGCTAATTATTTAACCTCATCTCCGCATCTGTAAAGTGGGGCCAGGGATACCTCTCAGTGTTATTGGGAGGATGATATAGGCTCATGTATGTGAAACACCTCACAGTGCCGAAACCAGGGGAAGTACTTCATAAATGTTAGGACTCAGCATGATAAAAACTGAAACCTGTAGTTGTTCATCACATTGGATTTAAGAAATTAAAGGAATTCTCCACACAGCCTTGAGAGGCACAAACAAGAGTAGGACCTCAATGGCTGTCTTCCTGAGCTTATTTTTTTCTTTCCTTTACTGTCTCTCTGTCACCAACCATGTAGAGTGTGGGCTTCAGAGATGCTCAGAGTAAATGGTACTGTCCTTGTCGTCTCCTGTGTGTGCTAGTTCAAATGTCATCTCAGCGGAGCCTTCTCTGTTGGTCCTATTTTAAATTGCAGCCCCCTTCACTCGCTGGCCACTCCCAATCCCCTTTCTTGTTTTATTTTTATTCATAGCATTTATCACCATCTGTCAAAATAGATAAGATATTTTAATTCTTTTGTTTACTGTCAGTGCCTCCCCACAACCAGAAAGTGAACTCCAAAAAGGCAAGGATTTTTGTCTATTTTGTTCATTACTGTTATTTCCTTCAAATATTTTTTGAAAGGATGAATTACTCTTAAATAACTATTCTATTCCATAATAACATTCATCTCATAAACTTATATTGTTTGGGGATTCTATTTTTTCCTTAATAAGTATTACTGATGACTTCCAAGATCCGCACCTTTTTAAGAATTTTTTTCATTTTTTAAAAATTCTGAAAGTATTTCTGGTTTGCATTTATCACTTAGATACAGTCCACTCTTGGCAAAGGAAGAAATGTTTAAAATGAATTTATAACTACTAACATTTCTGTTGCTACTATTGTGGGGCTATGTGGTTATGAGCACCAGATGTGTTTTCTCATCATGTGGCAGTTTAAATGCCAGGATCACTCCCTTGCCTGGAGTTTCCGACCTGGTGGAGCTCCTGCACCTAGAAGGCCTTCCCCTTCTTTGCCTCAGGCAATCTCCCATTCATTGGTTTGTGTGTCCTCCCCAGCTGCTTCTCTTCTGTCTCACATTTGGAGTTTTACTGTCTGTCCAGACACAGGGCACTGATTGTGTAACACTTTGCCATTCAGCTGTTTGTATACGTGTCTCATCTTCCCTGAGAGAGCATAAGCCGTGCAGTGGCCTCTGGTCTCGGAGCTAATCAAGCACTTAGCCTCTCCAATCCGCCACTTCTCCATTTGCAATTCATTGCAAATGTTATGTAAATCTAACCTTAAAAATCGTAACAAATATTTGTTTATTATTACGCATGCTGAATCATTTAAGACATGCATGTTGAAGTGTTTGGGGGCAAGTATGCTGGTGTCCGCAATTTGAAATTCATAAAAAAGATAGATTGAGGGATGCATAGAGAGATGGATGGATGGGTCAGTATATGATAAAGCAAATACAGTAAAATATAAATCAGAATCTAGGTGGTGGTATATAGGTATTCATTGTACAATTCTTTCCACTTTTGTGTATGTTTGAAGATTTTCATAATAAAATGTTAAAACATGAACAAAAAAGCATGCACAGAAAAAGCAGGTTGGCTTTCTTCAAGTGCTTCCAAGCTAAAAGTTCTAGTTATATAATGTTTTACCCAAAGTAGTGTTTTTCTCTTTTCTCCTTCCTCCTGTAATTCTCAAACAATAATAAACATGTATATATTTTAATTTTGAAGCCAAAAGAAATTGTTTTTCTGGGAAAAGAAGCCATATACTTAGAACATGTATGTTACTTTCCAAGGTCTTTGTTTTCTAATGAATACATTGCATTGAATGTAGGATAGAAAAACTTTAAGTTTAAACATTTGTAATATGTTGTTGAGTGACGTGTAACTTGTTTAATTTAGGCCACTGTAAGAACTTGCAAGAGTTGAATGTCTCTAACTGCTCAACACTCACGGTGAGTATAAGCAGCTTATTTTATTGTTGTTTATACATTAATAGATTCAGACTGGCAGCACTAGAGTGCCAATGTGCAGAACACATGTCTGTGCACTCATTTAGGATTAAATGTGGAAAAAGGCAAAATATTATAAACATTGGCAAGAAATTTTACTTCATTTGTATAATGCTATTATTAATCTTTTAGAGTTATGCCCAGTGTTGGAGCCTCGGGCAAGTAGAAATTCTTCAACGATTACACAAAAATGAACTGTACTTATATTTAATGCTATGTGTGTATGAGACAGAAAAGTGGGCCCCAGCAGAGATGATAGGCTCATTTTAGTGGTCTTCATGGCTATCAACAGCTGTGCCAAAGAAGATAGAAATGAGCATGTATCCCTGGCCACTTTCTTCCTGGTCCCTGTCTCCAGTCTTTCCCTCTATCCGCAATCTGTCTTCCACTCTGTGAGCACACACTACTCTTTCTAAAAGGCATATCTGACCACTTTACTCACATCTTCCATCAGCTCCACACATTCTGTTATCTACACTATTGGATAAAGTCAAAACTCTTTAATATCGCTGTCCCTTGGAGACCCTCTGTGGTTTTGCCTCTGCCTCCCTTTCCATAGCCTCACCTAACTCCACTTGCTGTGTACACACTCAGTTGCAGTGATCACAGCTGCTGAGCTTTCTTTGCTGCGTGCTCTAAGTTGCTTCTTGCGGTTTTGCATTTGCTCTTGTTCTTTGCTTGGAATGCCCTTTCTCTTTGTCTTCAAGTGGTGCTTTCCTCTTTGTCCAGCTTTAAGGCTTATTATACACATTACCTCTTCTGCCAAGATGTCACTGGCTCCCAGGGCTGGGTTCACTGCTGCTGCTCTGGGTTCCTGTAAGCCAAAGTAGTTCTAACCATAGTATTTTTGCCTCCTCTCCTAGCCTAAGAGACCCAAAGGGCAGGAGATGTGTTTTATTCTTTGTGGCAGTCACAGCACCCAGCACCAACTTTGGTATATAGTAGATATTCAGTAATGTTTAGTGAATGCAACTATATGGAAATGCCTGGTAGGCAGTGGACAACAATGGCTAGAACTTGAGATTCCATCTGGGGTTGACATCGATGTGTTAGTTATAATCAACATTGTAAGGCCAGGTGCGGTGGCTCACGCCTGTAATCCTAGCTCTCTGGGAGGCCAAGGCGGGCGGATTGTTTGAGCTCAGGAGTTCGAAACCAGCCTGAGCAAGAGCGAGACCCCGTCTCTACTAAAAATAGAAAGAAATTAATTGGACAACTAAAAATATATAGAAAAAACTAGCCGGGCATGGTGGCGCATGCCTGTAGTCCCAGCTACTCGGGAGGCTGAGGCAGGAGGATCGCTTGAGCCCAGGAGTTTGAGGTTGCTGTGAGCTAGGCTGACACCACGGCACTCTAGCCCAGGCAACACAGTGAGACTCTGTCTCAAAAAAAAACAAAAACAAAAACAAAAACAAAAAAACATTGTAAGAGTGAGTGAGATCAACCTAGAGGGAGGGAGTGAGAGGAGAAAAGGACTTTTCCTACCTGCCTTAATAGCTACCCTTCCTTCCTCACCACCCCTATCCCAACCTGGCTAACACTTGTTGACTCTTTAAAACACTCTTCAACTCCATTAGGTCTTTCCATTCACTTTTTTCCCCACAGCCTTGGGGAATGCTGACAGTTTAGGAGCAAGCAGAGGGTATTAAGAAGGAATAATAAGAGAAGTAGGTTGGAAATGGAGAGGTATCACAAAATGCAAGAGAGTAAAGAGTTTCAGAAAGATGTGAGCAGATCTGAACAGAAAAGGACTGAACAGTACTACCTGGATTTGAGAATTAGAGGGTGATGGCTGATTTTTGCTAGAACAGCTTCAATTGGATATTGTAGTGAGTCACAAAGTGGACAAGAGGTGAGAAAGTGAGGCATTAGGCATAAACTGATCTTTCCAGTAAAGTGGCTAAGGGAGTGGTAGGAGGAAAACAGGGCTAGGGAAATGGAAGCAGCTTTATAGAGGCTGGTGGAGACTCAGGTGAAGCAACCAATGGAGCAAGTCTCCAAGGAGACAGGAGGAACTAGGATGCAGAGCCTGATTGTGTGATGCTCCTTGTTAAGCACCAACTCCAGGATGAGGGACAAGACCCTTGGCACAGGTGAAAACGGTCATGAATTGGACCCTCCTGCTACCTCCCAGCCTCATCTTTATAGTTGTTTCTTTCAGATTTCTACTCTGTTTCAATACTGAACCACTTGAAGTTCCCTGAGCATGTCATAGCATTACACTGTGTCCTTGAACCTGTTTTCCTACTTGCCTTATTGACCACCCTTCCTTCCTCACCCACCACCCCTATCCCAACCTGGCTAACACTTGTTTACTCTTTAAAACACTCTTCAACTTCATTGGGTCTTTCCATTCACTTTTTTTTTCCATTGACCTTTAAAAAAAAGCTTTATTGACATATAAATAAATCTATATTTATATTGAGATTAAATTTACCCATTTAAAATGTACAATTTAATGGTTTTGGTATACTCACAGAGTTGTGCAACCATCACCACACCCAGTTTTAGAATATTTTTCCTCATCCCCAAAAGAACCCACACTCATTAATAGTCACCCCGTGTTTTCTCTCAACCCCTCAGTCCTTTGCAATTCCATTCACTTTTTGACAGAATTAATTTTGCCCTCACCTGAGCTACATCTGCAGTCTCAGTACTTCAACATTCATACTTTCTGCTCTATTATACTTATGTTTACATGTATATCTCCTGTTTACGAACTGAGAGCTCTTTGAAAACTCCTCCCTTAGTAATTTTTTTCCATGAAATTCATCCTCCCATTTTCACAGTGAAACATTTTTTCAAAAGATAGTAGACATTATATAAATAAAATGTATACATAAAAGTAGTAAAACCCTTAGAACTCTTCCATTCCTTACCTCCATACACAAATTACACATTTAAATTAGTTGTTTGATCCCCATCCAACAGAACATAGAGAACTGCTCTAGACTATAAACTAAGCGTCTTCTCAGTGGATTCTACTTTTACACAAATACGCTGCTTCTTTATGTTCAAAAGTGCCCTCAAGGGTGATCCACAAGAAATGAAGGCATAGATACACATGTCAAAGACCACATCAGAGAAAAAATGTTCTATTTTTTCTTCTTGTACTCTTTCTCCACTAGCAAAGTGAACATGGGCTCCTTCATGAAGAGAGATTTAAAATCTTTACTACCACATCCTCCAGATGTCTGCCTGTGGTTAGTATGAGGTTGTTTGCTAACCGAGTCATTCTTTCTGTGGATATTTTTATTACCTACTATGTTAAAGATATTCTGCTAGGTGCTAGAGGGAATTTAAATGAATTGGTTTTCAGTCCTTGCCCTCAGGGAGCTTTAGTTTGGTACTTGGGTAAAAGATCATATTCTTTGAATTTGGCCTTCTAGTAGTAAATTCAAAACAATGCCATCTGCGTTGAATTTGTGAACATCAAAGTCTTATCCAATTTTGGAGTCTAATAATATACAGGGATGATAATTTTATCCAGCTACATTTTACTATTGTTTTTCCCTTTGAAACATAGACTGGGGGACAGGCTTTCATTTCTAAGCTTGTCTTTGAAATATATTACATTCAGAAGGATTTGAGAACATTGTGGACAAATTCATGAGCCATTTTGCAATGTAGACACTCAGTTTTTGCATTTATATGTTCAAACATTTGGGGATTGAATCTTGAGTTATTTTAAATACTGAGAATGAGAGTGATTTGAACTTGTTGCGTTGTTGACACTCCTCCAGACAGGAAAATGCAGAGAATGGATTGCCTCCTCATCTCAAAGGGAAAGTCAGTTTCCTTTAGGTGCCTAAAGCATATGCTACTTTCCTCTTCCTGGTCCCCACATTTTCATCTTCTCTGTGGCTGCCTCTGTAAGGGAATTTAAGCCAGCTCTCTCTCCTCTCCTTGTCCCATTTTATTTGCATTTTTGCCAAAGTGTTTCAACAAGTGCACAATCACTTTGATACTTGATTACCATTATGAACATTTTCAAAGACAGATTTTGTGTGTATTAAAGTACAGTGTCACACATTATGGTTGTTCTCTCCATTCTTTTTGGGAAAATAGTACTGTGTACTTTTTATCTATCCATGCATGTCTAAATTCTACATTTTGGTGATGCAGTATCTAGAAAAATTGCTGGCAGCTTGAAAGCACTGGTAAGAGTACGGTGTTTATCAAAAGCTCTACACTTGTACTCATGCAGCATTGGCACATAGAATATTTCCTATAGCAGAATAACAGAAATTTATAGCTTAAAGAAGAAACTTATGTTCTCTTTAAGGTATGGTTTGCTGCCCCTGTAAATCAGCCAATTCCTATTTGAGTGCAGCAGACGCTCTGACCTGCAGGATTTTATTATTTTAAATATCCGTGACTCTGGATATAGCAAGGAATGGAATCTTAAACATCAATGATCCTGCTAAAAATAAATCTTGTCTATCCTTAGTGGTGTTGGGGTGGCCATACTGACCATGCAGAATTCTTCTCTAAACCACATCTCCAAGCCTAGTGGTGATTCTCTTCCAGACAGATAGATAACCTGCAGTGGCCTATTCTTTTCAGGAGCAATATAATGTCAAACATTGCATGAACCAGAAATACTTAAAACTGGTTGATTTGTTAGTATACCTGGATATTGTAGTGAGTCATGAAGTGGACAAGAGGTGAGAAAGTGAGGCATTAGACATAAACTGATCTTTCCAGTAAAGTGGCTGAGGGAGTGGTAGGAGGAAAATAGGGCTAGGGAAATGGAAGCAGCTTTATAGAGGCTGGTGGAGACTCAAGTGAAGCAACCAATGGAGCAAGTCTCTGAGGAGACAGGAGGAACTAGGATGCAGAGCCTGACTGTGTCATGCCCCTTGTTAAGCACCATCATTGAATTCATCAATCATCATTAAATAAATAAAAACCTTCTGCTTCTCACTCTATTTTCTATAGAGTTAACCATAGGAGAAGCAACTCATTGCAATCAAAGCTTGCAATTACCTAGTCTTACAAATATCAATTTGGAGCCCATACTTGAAAACACTGTTTTTCTGTCTCTCTCATATCATAGACACTATTGTCTTACCTTAGTTTCAGCTCTCTGGGGCGAAGGATGCTTGAATCTTTGAGATCTTCCCCCAACCTAACCCCAACACTGAATTTCATGCCCAGCTTATATATAGCCTGTATTTTATTTCAGCCTTCTAAAACTTACCATAAGTTTGGTAAAAATCTGTTCAGGCATTTTAATATATTTAGTTAATAGAACCACAGAAACTTAATTACATATGCACACACACACCCTTATATATAAATATGTTTTGTAAATAGGGACTCACTTTTATTGAAGTCTAGTTGTTTAGAGTGTTTACTATTCCTGTCTTGCAGAATGATTTTAGTAAGTTTTAAAATGGATCAGTTTTTAATCACTTTCCTGCATCTAAAGAGTCAGGAGTGTTTGACACTTGAGCTCAAATTTCCTATCATGGAGTTGAACTTGCAAGGGTTCACATTTTAAGGAAGTGTCATTATGGCGGGATGAGACTTTATTTCCAAAGAAAAGCGAAAGGAGAGAGTAATGAAGCTTCAAGCAAAACCATTGGCTTCTGTTTAATTTCCTTTCAATTAATATCAAATAAAGAATATGAAGAGATTGACTCTTGCACATATATTTTCTGGGGGCAGGAAGAGAGATGATAGAAGTTGCAAAGCCTGTTAGAATTTGGTAACATTCTTCCCTCTGTTTTTTTGTGCAGGACGAGTCAATGAGACACATTTCTGAGGGCTGCCCGGGGGTCTTGTTTCTCAATCTGTCTAACACAAATATCACCAACAGGACGATGAGACTCCTGCCAAGGTAATGCTTGTATTGTTTGAATGACACAGAAAATAATTATGCTCCAAGAAGCTCTGGCTTTCTCTGGCATTCTCCAAAGGCAGTGTTTCCCCCATTACTGTGGCACTGATATACTGGTAATGGAGACTGCTGTTTTCAAGTCCCCAAGCTAGTATCTGCACCCTCCCTACTTGGTGGGCCCAGTTTGAATAATTGGTCTTTTGCCTTGGCCAGCGTTGTTGTCACTCTTGTAGCAATGTACACAGTAGTTTGAGTTAGACTTTGCCTGTCTCTTTCTGGTCCCCTTCCTGGGTATTGAAGCCTGGCCCCTAAATTCTAGTCTGGTGTCTGGGACCTTTCTACAATAGAATACCAACATCTGCCTCCCTAGACTTCGAACATTTCTTCCCCAGATTCCCTGTTGCCACTCTTGCTACCTGTTGACACCCCTGCCAGCTCCAGGGAACCTGACACTGGTCATTTTTTGACTGTTTATGGACTGTTGACAACACTGGATACAAATATTGCTTCTCCTTAACCAGCACTTCTTTGGAGGTGAAGGGACAGAAGAACAAAAGAGTTGACAGAATATTCAAATATATCACAAATTTATGTCAATTATTCTTTACTTTCACTATGGAAAAACTAATCAAAAAGAATACATGGTCACATTGGGAGAGATTCAAATTTGACTTTGGGAGAACATTTCTCAAACTATTGTGAAAGAATGAACTATTTTTAAGAATATAGCTTTTGAGATTCTTTGAAAAATAACAGTGAGACATTTGGAAAAGCTTAAACAGAAAATTCTGGGTGGTAATTTCCTTTATATTCTGACTCTAACCATTTCCTGCAAATGTGCCAGCCTAAAAAAAGGCGACACCATATTTTCTGTTTATCCTGTTAATTGAGCTGCCACATTTTATTAGTCAAATCTATCAAATCTTCTCTTTGAAATTTCTTCGGATACTTTTAAACATAGAGGGTCTTTGTCCTTCCAGGCATTTAACATACATTTACATAATTTTTTTTATTTTTTTAAACTTAAGTATATAATCCATCTAGAATTTATTTTGGTAGATGAATGAAACAATTATCTAAACCAGGGGTCAGCAAATTATCACCCATGTGACCCAAAGCCTGTTTTTGTGCATTACACAAACCAAGAACAGTTTTACATTTAAAGTCTTATTAAATAGCTAACCAATTATTGAAACATCATTTATCGAATAAAACTTTTATCATGTGATGTGTGATTCCTCTCTCTATATATATCTAAAATTCTTGTATAGGCAAGAAATATACTTTAACATTCATCACTCTCTATAATAATATTTTTCTATATGTTAGTTTACATTCTTGAGGTTATTTATGTCTAGTGTATCTATGTGTGAAAAGGCTGCAGAATGGTGTGCTACTGCTTATCTCTTCCCAGCCCCATTTTCAGTGACCTCTCATTGGTAGCTTGGAACTTGCCAATATGGAAGTATTCTACACTGTGGAAAATGGCAAACATTAAAAATCAAAGCTTGATGTATTGTTTTTGTTGATTGTTTAGATTTAAGAAAGTGATGGAGAAAACAATTAATAAAGCAGATTATATTTAAAGGTATGTCATATCTGTAGCTACAACATTCTGAATAGCACAAAAAATTGAGGTAATATTCTTTCAATACTTGAAAACTATTATCTAATTCATCAAAGAAGGCACTCACATCATTGATGGACAAGTTTGGACATCTTTTTAATTTCATTTTTGTTTTACATATTAATGTAAACAAATATATTCGTATTGGAACTATATTCATTCTTCAGTTGCAACCATCAGTTGGCTGGATACATTTATAAGAGTTTCATTGGCAAAAGTCAATGAACACATTGTGTGAAAATTGGTTGGCTACATGGAATTTACAATAAAGAGTATTGTATATTTTATCATTTGTAAGTTGTAGGCTACACATCCTTCATATCTATAAAATAGTAAAATAAAATTTTATAGTAAACTTACATATATTTATATGCATACATTTTTTTGAAGAGGAAGTTTTTAGCTATACCAGTACATCACTAATTAAAGATAAAATAAACTAGAACTAATTTATATTTTTATAATATTTAGTCTATCATGAATATAAGTACACTTCTAAAATTTTTTTCAAAGTTCCTAAATCTTTCGATAAAATTTTGTTTTATTCATATAATTTTTGCGAAAGTTATTCCTAGGTATCTCTCTACTTGTCATTGTGAATGGTATCTTTTCTGATTCTAGTTTCTCATTATATTTTCTCAATGGTCATTTTTGGACTTGGATATGAGATTCAGTTATCTTTTTAAATTTTTCATTTGAAGATTTAATTGATTTTTTTCCCTTTTAAAAGTAAAAAAAGAGAGCTATGAAATTACTTCTAAATAAGAATTTGGGCAAAGCTTATACAATTTGAAAAGTGTGTTTTTCACTTTATGAATGAACTATTCTATATTTGCTTTCCTCTTTGACCCCGTAATTATTTAGAGAATTTTTGGTTCCAAGTGGTTGAAATTTCTTTGATTAAACCTTTGTTTTTAATTAGGCACTCTGGTCAAGAAATGTGGACTGAATTATTTCTACTTTTTGGAATTTATTGAGATTTCTTGGTGGACTAGTTCATAATTAATTTCAGGAAATCATCCATGAATGTTTAAAACAAAGAGTTTCTTTTAGCAAACAAAATTTCTGTATTTAGATGTGTATATATACATATAAATTCTTGATGCTATAGTATAATAGTGATATATTTGTTATCTATTACTTCTCTTGATTTATTTTGATGTTATTTTATACACAAAGATTAGTAAGTTATAGATCATAGCATTTATTCACATAAAATGATATTCTTTATACTGGTTGATGTTTCTTTACCTTGAATTTTTTTATCTGCTATTAATATAGTCACCTTTGTTTTCCTCAGCTTGTGTTTTTTGTGGAATATCCTTATATATCTCTTTATTTTTAACTTTTGTGTCACTAGATTTGAGGCTTGTCTTTTATATGCAGCATGTAGCTAACTTCTATTTTAAAAAATTGAGTATATAGTCTTATTTTTATCCTTTTATGTTTTTATTTTTATGTTACTGCACTGTACTCAGTGTTTCTGTTTTTTGCCATATGAACTATGTTGTTTACTTTTATAATCTGAAGACATTTTAAAGGTAGCTATACATTCTGTTGTGTATTCTAACTAGTGGCTATGTGCATGTTTTTTAAAAAACATGCTTTAACATGCATTTCTCTAATTATTAAAGATGAAACAATAACTTTTGACTACTCCTGTGTTAGACAAGTGATCTAATACATTTCAATTCTCTCTCTACTTTTCCCTTGAAATTGACATCCCTCCACTTCCACTCCCCTGTATAAACATACATATTAGTTGTGTTTTTTGCTAATCATTTAACTTTCCTTTTAATAGTGATTTTTAGTGTTTGCACTCAATATTGTAATCATATTTATAAAGATTATATAGTCCTAACTCTAGTCCATTCATTGATGGTCTTTTTTCCCCCACAATTTCCTTATTCTGTAACCTTGATTTTGATTTATCTGACGATGACTGGAAATAAAATTTTAAAAACCCTTTTTCAGAAAAGATGCACGTGTGTTAGATTTTCAGCCATTGATCTCTGAAGATGACTATCATGTTGGAGGACAACTTGTTTTGGTGTATAGTTCTTGAATTGTGTCCTTTCCTTTATCTTTAAAACCATACAAATGTTGGCCTATAAACTTTGATATTTGAGATTAAAGGAAAGTCTAAAACTAGCATGACTTTTTCATTCCTTTGTTGGTAATCTATTTTTTTTCTGCCAAGATGCTTACAAGATTTTCCTTTTCTCTGGGAAATTAAAGACATTTCCAACCTTAATTGTGTTCCTTCAATTAATTTTTCCTGGAACATGGTAAACCTTTTGAACATTAAAACTTAATTTTTTTCTCAGCCAAAGAAGGCATTTTTCTTTTTAATGCTTCTATCTATTTGTTCAGAGTTTGTCTTAGGATTTTATTCCTGTCCTTCAAAGCTGTCATTTTCTCTTTCATCGTTTTTATCTCTATATGCATTTCCATTAGCATACTGTCTTCTGTATATCAGGAGTTCTTGAAGCCAAGAACAGCAGTGTTCTAGTAAATGTTTAACAACTCCTTGGGATGGGGAAGGAAAGAGAAGCTCTGATTGGTAGGGTTTACTGATTTCTGTGTGTAAATAGTTCCATCATGGCTGATTTTAGGCTACCAATATGTCATTGAATGTGGAAGTGGGGAGAGATGCTAACAATTGACTCTCATGAGTTGGTGTAAACTGGTTCCAGTGACACCATTGTGAGGCCCCTGAGGATCGAGGTTCAAAAATTCCTTAAGGTCTTACAGTCCTGTGACATAGAATATCACTTAGTGCTTTTCTTTAGGCATTCCATACTATGATATATAAGTATGTATATGTGTATTTATCTATAGGAATATATGCACATGTATGTATGTGCATATATATATATAGAGAGAGAGAAATTATAAAATTCATAAATCCATTTGTGAAAATCTGAACTTACAAAATAGATGGTTTGGGAGTAGTTTATTTCACATTACAAAATGTTTTTTAAACTTAAAATATATTTTTTCCAATTACACATTGAAATAACTTTTTTCTCCTTGGAAATTTGATGTGATACTACAGCTATGTATAACTTTTTAGGGACATTTATTTTACAAATGAAGCTATACCTTTAATGGGCAACAGATAAAAAAGTAGGACCCAAAATAAGAATTTTGTTTGGTTTTACCTTCTAGTTCTTGCCATTGAGAGAATATTCAGAATAAATACTACTTGATACTGAGGATTTTTGTCATATAAAAAACATACAGTAATTTATCTGTGATAAAAATATTTTTCATAATGATTATTTTTGCTATTTTCCATTGTTTCAAACACGCTTGCATACGCAAAAGTGTTCTTTAAACTATAAATAACCAGAGAAATGTTGGTCATTGCTGCTATCATTCTCTTTTAATTGCCTGTAGTGTTTCTTTCCAAAGAAATCATTTGCCAGAAGAAAAATGTAATTTGCCCTTTCTTGACAACAGTGATTTGCCAGTTTTTTATTTGAACATTTTTCTTCACTTCTTTAGGGACTTGGTTTTCTAAAGTTGAAAATGAGGGCTGCCCACAGCTCATGCCCATTCTGGCAAATTTTTTGCTTTTACATGTTTCCTGAATTAAACCCTTTCTATTTATTTCTATTGCCACAACTTAGGTGGCACGTTCAGCACCTCATCTGGCACAGCATCCTGCCGTTTCTGCCTCTGGTCTTGCTTCCCTTCAATTTGCTTTGTCTCATGCTACAAGAAGTATCATTCTGGAACAATCTTTTTATCATGTCCTTGACATGCTTGAGGTCTAGACCCTTCCCTTACTGTCCCTTGACATTATCCAGTCAAACTTATCTGGCTGGGTTTCCCAAGAGAAGTCCTTAACTCTGGGCTTTTGATTGCTACATGGTTCACTTTCCCTACTGTTGGAATACCCTTCTTCTCTTGGCTAATCCCACTGCCTTTACGCTGTAAATCATGGCATCTACCAGAAGTCCATAGTGATTTTTCCTTTTCCTGAATTCTAATAACAACGTTCATTCACTTGTTCACCATGTATTGATCAACTACTATGTGTGAGCCATGCTGGACATACAGTGCTGAGTAAAACTGTTAATGGTTGTTGCTCTTAAATGAAGCCTTATATGCTATAGTGGTGTTTAATGACTTTTCATATAGATAAATTGATCCTTCAATTGGCTCAAAAATTTCTTATTGTCAGGGACTATCATGTTATCTGGTCTTATCAAAGTAGGGCAGACAGAGTAAGCTATTGTCTAGACTGGATAATCTCAAGGTCTACCCAGTAAATATGATGCCAAATCACTCCATTTAGATTTTCTGCAGAATTCTATTACTTGAAACTGCCTCTGTGAAACTAAAGAGCCCAACACTCAACTCAAAAGAATCCACATGCAAATTCCTTCTTTTATAGACTAGGCCTCATCTTGGTAGTTTTTCAGAAAAATTCTTATTTAAATACATAATTTTACATTCCTTCCAGTAGTAAGTCCTTCAGGTGTTAGAGATCTAACACATACTACCTCAGTTCTTTAGTGGAAAAAAGACAAAGGAGAAAAAAAATAATCTCTGGAGTTTCTATAAGAATTGTAATTTCTTAAAGAGTATAGTAGTAGCAGAAAAATAAGTAAATCGCAAAGAGAGAACTCACTCCCCATAAGAAAAAGTTATCAAATAATTAGAAAAAGATAAAAACAGGCTGTAGACACTTAACCTCAAAGTGAAATTATAGAACTATCAAGTGGTCTCTGGGCTGGGAAAATGATGAATCAGATCTCCCTCATGAGAGGACACATTTTTTTGTGTGTGTCAAAATTCAGAATGAAAAGTACTGCGTAATAGGCCGGGCGCGGTGGCTCACGCCTGTAATCCTAGCTCTCTGGGAGGCTGAGGCGGGCGGATCGTTTGAGCTCAGGAGTTCGAAACCAGCCTGAGCAAGAGTGAGACCCCCGTCTCTACTAAAAAAAAAAAAAAAAAATAGAAAGAAATGATCTGGACAACTAAAAATATATAGAAAAAGTTAGCCGGGCATGGTAGCGCATGCCTGCAGTCCCAGCTACTTGGGAGGCTGAGGCAGAAAGATCACTTGAGCCCAGGAGTTTGAGGTTGCTGTGAGTGAGGATGACGCCACGGCACTCTAGCCTGGGCAACAGAGTGAGACTCTGTCTCAAAAAAAAAAAAAAGTACTGCGTAAAATTCGTGATTTTACTGTCAACTGATACTTTTCCTATCCCCAGCAGCTTTAAGTCTACAGCCCTGTAAATCCCTAGAAAGGCCTATCTACAGGGCCACTCAAGATTCCTGTGCTTTGCTTTCAAACTGAGGGTTCCCATGAGGTTCCACCTCGTAGAGAGCCATCCAGGGACTTTCAATCCAGGAGTCATTTACTCTAATGAACAACCTCTTTTGTCTAAACAAAAGGTTCTTAACTGGGATTTCCCCAAGGGGCCGGGGTGGAATTCAAGGGTTCCATGAATTTTAATGGCGGATAAAAAAATCATCTCTGTTTCCACTAAGTTCTAACTGAAATGTAGGTAAAAACCAGAATAGTGTTAGCAGTCTGTGGGACTTTTTAATCCATATAAATCACAAATATATCTTTATCACATTATAGTTATAAATATTTCAAAATATCGATACTCATAACTACTTCACAGTCACAGTAGTTATTAGAACTGCCACTAGATCTTGTTATTTAATATGTTAAAGAAGCACACATATTACTATTATACTCATTTGGTTTTTAAAAAATATTTTGATAATTATATATTTCAATATCATTGGCTGCCTTTGTAATCTTATGTATTTTATTTTATGCATTTTAAAACATGCTGAGAAATGGTACACTGACCTCACCAGACTACCAAAGGTGTCTGTGACACACAAAAAATTAAGAGACTCTAGCTCAATTCTCATTTTTGGTATTTGTTAACTGATCACATGAATTTAAAGAAATTGAACAATAGGCTTAGATCAGGGTGTAGACATAATGTGATATCTTCTAACCTCTCGGAATCATTTCTGTGCAACACTCTTGTTAGATGAGTATCCATTCCATCAAATGGAAGAAGACAGTACAAACTCCATAAAAATAATTAATATGCTATCTGAAGTAGTAGCAATAACAATACATATATCCTTATTATTTAATAATTAGAGACAGAATTTCACTATGTTGCTAAGGCTGGATTTGGACTCTTGGGCTCAAGTGATCTTCCCGCCTCAGCCTCCTGAGTAGCTGGGACTCCAGGCATACGCCACCACTCCTGGATATTCATATATTTTTAAAGCTTCTACCATGTTCCTGCTGATTTTAATTGTAAAAAATCACCCTCAAGATAATACTATTATATCTATGTTCTCATTTAACTGTTACACCTCTAAAGGGAAAAAGCAGATCAGATTACATCCATGTTACAGATGAGAAAACTGAGGTTTAGGAAAACTGGAGGCCCCCCAGTTGGTCAAGATTAAAAAAAAGATAATGTTATCTCCACTTAATGGATGGGAAACAATCTCTGAAAGGTTAGGGAAGTTGTAGCAAGTGTCAGGGTTAGGATTCGAATCCAGTTTGGTCAGATTCCAAAACCTTGTGTATTTTCCATCATGTTGGGCCTCACTATTCCTTTCTCCAAATTAGAGAACTGAAGTTAGAAATGATACCCCTGGCCTCTCCCCAAAGAAAATTGTACTTAGTTGAATCATGGGGTATACTCAAGGGAGAGAAAGATAAAACATTTCCAAAACTTTGGCACAACTCTTAGGCCACTGGAGGCCCCATGGAGGGGACGTGTGTTTGGGATGTTAGTGCTGCTTTCTCCTGCAGGGCCCTGCCTACCCAGTTTCTAGGGAGTCCAAGCCTTCTCTCTCTTTCCGTCGATCTCGTGTACACAGCCATTCCCAGATGGGCATGTATGTTCTGAATCAAGTAATTCACTATGGGATGGGACTCATTATATCATATAGATATATTTTTCAAATTTTAGGAATAAATATGATTAATGGTCAATGCTTATAAATCTTATTTCCCATTTATGTGAATGTAAACTTTATTTATTTATTTGTAGGCTTTTGAGGAGCAGAGAAGCATTTTCTCCTCACTTTTCGTTCTTTTTGTTGTTCATTTTAATTTGCTGTTAAACTATTGTAGATCACAAACCAAGAGCATTTTGTTAATTCCATTACAAGAGCAGGCAGTAGTGGGAGTCCTTGCACTTTTAAAAAATGCCAGGCTTAGGAGGGCTTGGAAAATTGTCCACAGAACGTACTCAAACTGCAAGCCCTTGCAGGGTAGCACAGGCTCGTACCAATTACCCTCCTTTTTTCTGGAAGCTCTCATTTTGGTCATTGTGGTGAGGCCATATTTAATCTGTTCCAATTCCAGTGAGATCGATAGCCTCCAATGTTGTTTTTAATTCTTCTCATGTGTTGCCCACTCATTTGCAGACTGTTCTTCTTAACCCATGTTTAAGCTCTGTATATCAATTAGTTTTTCTTTAGCCATAATAGTGAAACTGTTACTTACAAAATCATGCATATTTAAATCTATTTTTCAGGACATTTGCTTATCAGCTTCATTTTAAGAGCCTTTTTTGTTCAATTTTTTCTTCTGCCTCAAATCCTCACTCTCCTTTAACAGTTAATCTGCATTTAAATGTTTATAAAGGGTTTGTCTTTGTAGACATTTTGCACATTATTTTAGTGCTCCAAAGATAAAAACTAAAAGCAACTATAAAGTAAACTCTGCAACTTTGGTTTCAAAAACTAACTTCTAAACAATATGAATGCACCCCCCACCACATAGCCCCCCAAAAAGCTTTATCTCACTCAATTTTCTTAAAAATCTCGGCAAATATTCTTATATTCATGAATTATTTTCACTTGAAATGTCATTATGCATTATGTGGTATACCACTGTAGTCTCCTTTAATCAACAGGGAGAGTGTTAACAATAAAGTTAAACTTTTGAACATCTGCAAGGAGAAGAGATTAATTCACAATTTTACTTCTCTTTGTGATAGTGGCTTAAGAAAGACTGGAGAGAACAACTGAAGTATAATCACTTTCTTTCCTCTCTTTTCTCGCTCTGTCCTTTCAGGCACTTCCACAACTTACAGAATCTTAGTTTGGCTTATTGCAGAAAGTTCACAGACAAAGGCTTACAGTACCTGAACTTGGGGAATGGATGCCACAAGCTCATCTATCTGGACCTCTCCGGCTGCACCCAGGTTTGTCTCTCAGTCTTCCCTTTCCTGCAGCGGGCGAGGAAGTCCTCCGAACGGGCTGCATCCAGCCCTCATGTTATACTAATGCTGTGCACGGACCGCAGCACACTTTTCAGAGGTTTTAAATTACATGGCCACAGCTGCTGAAATTTTCCTCAGGATCGCTACTATAGGCTCTTGGCTTCCGTCCACTGGAGTGTCACTTCGACAAACAGGCAGAGCTCATTGGATGAGGGAACAGACCACTTCTGTGGAGACACTCTGAGCACAGTTCTAATCCCAGAGCCCAAATCTTGAAATCTCTGGAGTTGCTACCAAGATACAAACAAAGAAAAAACTTTTCGGGGAGAATTTGTACAGGATTCCTGAAAAGTTAGTTAGCTCCCACATGGGTTTTTTTTTTTTTTTTTTTTTTTTGGGTAAAATGCTACAAATGATAAATATGAGAAAGGAAATACAATAAAGATTATAATTTTAAAAATTTCACTACATCTTTGGGCTAAATAACCTGAAGATTTGGGATCTACTGGGAAAATATTTAAGTTAGAGAGAACAAGATTGGGAAGGTTGGGCCGGAAAAAGGGTAAAGTTGTGGAGGATAGAGCATGGCACTTTGGAAGTAGTGCCTTATTGATAGTTTCTTCTGCTCTAATTTCGATAGATGTAAACTGTACTTCTTTTAACTTATTTTCTCCTGCCTCTCTGTATATTATTGAATTGATGTTATAGTATGTTCATTCCTCTGTAAGAGTAATATAATAGCACAGGTGAAAACTGCTGGAATATTGATAGTTACCATTTTTTGAGTCATTACTATATGTCAGGTATTATGTTGAGTGCTATGCACAGATCAGATTTACTTCTCATTCTATGCTGTATAGTATGTATTTATTATGCCTATTTACAACTGAAGAGACCAAGGCTCAGGGTGGTTGAATAAATTGCCCAAGGTTGCACAGCTGGTGAAAGCTCATGGGCACATGGTACTGGTATAGTTACAAGCACCCGTTGATAGATACCTAGGCAGGTAGAGTCCAGGGGCAGCACAGGTCTCTCTTCCAGGTTCTTGAATGGATAGAATTCTTACCTAGCCACCAGCACTGGCATACCATGATTTCCTGATGCACTAGGCAGCTGGATGTCTAAGCTAGGGTTGAAAATACCTAGCATTTATATTTGTTTACAACTGACCTACTGAGGTGTAGCTTGCTAAACATCAACATCTACCACTTGTGACTGAAGTGGCCTTAACGTTCCCCTCAGCGTGACTGAACTTTAGACAGGTTTCTTCCTGACTCTAGGCCCCTGACCTCCCTTTTCTTAGAGCATTT